CGCAATGACACATCTTGAAATATGTTCACAAACAGTAAATCATAAATGTTTCTTTATACATTCCTTCCATGATTTCCAATGCTGCTTATCGCAAGGGGTACCAATTGTGGCATGAATAATTATATTTTCTTGTTTTCAAAATATAAAAAGCAAATTAAGAATGGGTGTGGATTCAAGGGAGCATTTATTTGGATATTCATTCACTCTCAAATCAAATAAGACGGAAAAGTTTCATTGATTACAGAAATCCACATGAATACCCAACCCAAACTCCAACCCCCCTCATTATACCTGAAACACTGAAATGAATATATACCGTTAAAATACCAAAATTGTTAGATACGTCATTGCTACTCCCCAATGAATATGAATTTGAAGAATTTAATGCTCTTGCAATAACAGATAGCGAGAAAGTCGTATCTGAAAGGGGTATCTGACTGATTCCTTGTTAAAAACTATTAAAAGTCACTTACTCTGAGTATCTAAACCGCATCTTTACAAGAATTCAAAAACTTCATAAAAATAATTGCACACGAAGATACATTGCTGGGTCCCGTAAATGCTCTAGCAACCCCTTATTTACTCTTCACGTAAATATTAACAACTGCAAAGGAAGACGTATGGTTCTACAAAATATTAATTAAGTGTTGTTAATAAAATATGAATTCTCAAAATCTCCAGAGAAATTTAAGATAATTGAAATTAAATGTACGTTTTCTTCCCAATATCAATATCATCAAACGCTTTAACGTATGACTCTTTGACACTTTATACAACCATTTCTTAATAAGTCATGCTTTTCTGCATCCTTGACGACTGCTTTTTCAATAAAAATGGAATGAATTTGGAAATATCTTGTGATAGATCTATAAAATTATTATTACTTTATTAATTAATTCTGTTTCTACAACAATTACTCTGAAAATAATATTAAAAAGATGCTGGAGTTTCATGATAGATCGTATCAAGTGTTTGGAGACAATTGTTCTCCCTTATTAGCCGACCTTTATTACATATAGCAGAATTCATTCCAAAACTTCTACATGAAGAGAAGATTAGACCATCGTCAATTTGACATTGAGATTTATCAGTTAACATAGTTATTTTCATTCATTATGTCGAACTCGATATATCCCAGTGAAGACACCAAATAGTCTGCCTCATATAAAAGCTTTGTTGTTTAGTAATAGGTTTTTATGGTTATATGGAACCATATGTCAGATAGAATTCCTTTTAAGTAAGTTTTACTGTTCAATGTTGTGGCTGAAAAGTTGATATGAATACTATTATTTCAAAACAATCTCCCTTACGCATTTAGGTATATTTCTAAATGTGTTTATTTTGTATTACTCGTGTATGGTATCATGTTAATTTAAACTATAAAATGCTTTCTTTGGTCGAAAGTATGGGAATTAATGTTTCAGCTGTTTCAGAAAAATTGAATAACCCGCGTTAACAAAGGAAGCCATTTATTGTTTATATTATGTCTTTATACGTAATCATGTAAAGTATTATTAAGAACGTTAAATATTGTATTATTGAAATGTACGTCATCTACGTTTCACTGATTGAAGAACCACTGCTCAAAAAATCTACACAGGTGGCTTGCTCTGCAATGTTGGTAAAACGGCCATGGTTTTCATAAGAAATAAAGGCGATAATATTTAGTGATGTAAGTATTATATATCAATATGTTTAATGCAAGGTACTTGACTCTTCTCTGGATAATCCTGTATTTTTTGTTTTATCTAAAACCACTTTTTTCATGATAAAACATTTATTAAACTTTTTTTAATCCCTATTTCGGACAAATTACTAAAATTGTATTACTTAACGTCATTCATTTAAATGTCAAAAGATTTAATTTTTCCCATAGATGTTTAAAGTTTAATTTTATCCCCATTCTCCATAGAGAGCATGGTATAACGTGGTTGCTGGCACATCAACCAACGTAATCAAGTCCTAAGCGCTAATTTAAGAACTTCCCTTAAAAGCAGAAATCTCTCTCTCTCCCCCCCTCTCTCTCTCTAAAATTTAAAAAGTTTCGAATTGTAAATTACATACCTATTTCTAACAGTTTTAAATTTGCCTGCTTAATGTTGTTTCATAAAATTCAATTTTGATAAATAATTCAAAAGAATTCTCTAAAATTATCTTTCGTAATTAATTTTATTGCTATTTGCAATATGGTGTAAACCATATTGATTTTACACCCGAATTATTCTTTTATCTTTATAATGATGTATGTATTTAATCCTCTTTGGGATAAATCAAATGAATATCTTTCTTTGTGGAATTAAAACATCTCGTTAAACATTAGAAATCAAAATTACATGTACATCAGTGTGAAATCCTCCAAGAGAATAGAGAAATGGACAAATATAACGTGCCAGGAGACGAAGATCGCCTTTAAATGATAATTTGAAAGTATTTAAATATTAATGCCTTTGTAAATGTGAAATTCCATTTGAAATGATGAACTGATTTTCCATATACAGTTTCATGTTGATGTTCACTTTGACAATATAACATATTCATACCGACTTTCACAGCGGTTTCACTGTAGAAATCCCCAGAGATTTAGTATTGTCCTTCGTATGTTAGTTTAATGCATCGTCTTCATCTGTACAAATATCTTTGATGAACGAGCTAGTATTTTTATGATGGAGCTTAATCCTCTACAGATTTTGGGGTTTTATTTCATATCATATTAATAATCAGTCAAGTTTGTTGTCACGAAAACATCTACAGTAGTAAATGGGAAATTGATTCACGGTTTGGGTTGACAACACTGAAATCATCAGCATCAGAAAAGCTATTTATCTGATGAATGAAATATTTTTCAATATATTTTATTGGTAGGGTCATTTTGGTCAACAAATCAGAATCTTCCTAAGGGTTTGTATGGCTATTGTTATTATGGCACAAAAAGGAGTTTACCGCGAAAAATTGTTCAGTCTGAAGTATGATGGTCTATTACTTGTTTACAATTTTACTTGAGACAGTTCTGGAGAAGTTAAGAAGTGATATCGATTGGACGGCGGGAAAGACAATGCATGGAAAATCACTTTTATTGTTTTTATAAATAATACAAAGGTACTTATAAAGATAAATGGTAGATTGAAATACGAATCACAAAAGCATCATGATAGCATGAGAATTCGAGCAGATTTTGAAGCACAGAATCTTTTCTACATTTCAAACTTTAAATGGCTAACACATGACAATATGTGTGGACACCTCATTGTCTATTGTCTTGTGCCATGAAATCCACGTGAAATTTGTATTTACCGTAGTACAATTTGGGAATATAGGTAATTGTCCACAAGTCGCCTTATAGAACTAGAATCCTGCTTTTGTTAAAACAATTGTTTGTAAATGTGAGCATTGGAATGGTAGATTATGGTGTACATATAAAATATGTGAATGCATGAAAGAAATATGTCTTCCCGAATAAAGTAGAAATGAACATTTTTCAATGTAATTTTTTTGTACTAACCCAGAATGCATACACCTGTTACATGATTCGTCGGTTGTTAGTAACGTTGATGCCTCACCAAGCATGTGAATTATTCTGATATATCAAAAAATTATAGCTTCCTCGACCTGTGTCCTAGATCACCCTTAATAATATCGTTGTTAGCCTTGCTAAGGTATAGTAATCTTAATCATGTTTCCTCCGATGGGAGGAGACAAAATCGGTCCTGGCATTAACACAGGATGAAACTCTGTCATTCAGTTAACTGAAAGGTGACTGAAAGTCTACTGAAGGTAACTGAAAGTTCTGCCATTCAGAGACCTTTCCAGTCCTTTCAGTGATTATTTAATTGACTGAATGGTAGAGGTTAACCCTGTTCACAGATTTGTATTGTTGGTTTTGTAATAATTATATATTATTATGATGTAAGAGATCGAGGAAATAAGTTTAAGCAATGGGAGATTTTTGTACCCTGGCCTCAAAAGCATAAAATGAGAATAGACAAATCAAAATATAGAATTTGAATAATTTGATTTTTTTAACAAACAAGTTATTAGAAAAATTTCAAGTTTGTATGATATTTACGTACAGTCATGATGAAAATGTTTTATTTGAAATTGTTATATTCAACATATTAATAAAAATCTATATTAACTTGAAATATTCATTTAAGTCTACTCTTAGTTATGATCTTGATGTAAGGTTTTAGAATATACATTTTGGGGAATATTACTAGGTTTGAGAAATAATAGATGATATTCTATTACAAGTACTTTACTTTCAAAATTGTAATAATCAATAAAAAATTTAAGAGTGCGTTATGAGTGAATTATTGCACTTGTCGTTTACGTCTCTATGGATGAGATTAGGATTAGACTCTGCACACTCCTGTGCAAATAAAGTAAAAATCAGAATATATTCTCGCGGAGAAGAGTTTAAAAAAAGAATCGTCGCCCGTGTTGCGCGGTGGTTAGAGCGTTTGCTCTAGATTCGCGTAATAAGGAGTTGATCCTAACGTCGTGGGTTCGAATCCCACTGCTGGACGTGGAGACCGGTCCCTCGGATGGGACCGTATAAACCGAGGTCCTGTGTAGCAATAGGTGCTGTCACGAAAAAGATTCCTCACTAGCCCCGAGGGCCCAGTATAGGTCTAAATTTGCAGCCCTCCACCTGCAAGTGGTGGCGTCTCCATATAAGTGGAAAATTCTCGAGAGGGGGCGTTAAACAACAAACAAAATGAATCGTGGGATATTTGGGAAGAAATATATTTTATTTTCTTGAAACGCCTATAAGTAAAACACAGAATTGTCATTTGGAGAGTTAAGCTGAGAAAATCAATAGATCACTCCATCCAGATATAATCTGACCTTAGTTATTTCAGACTAATTGAGTGTGAAGAGGTATGATAATTTGTTGAACATGTACTCCATAGTTACTAGTATAATGCTGAATTGCTGAAATGCACGAAAGAGTGGATATTTTACCTCTAGAAATATTTTTACAGGGAAGACAGTAAGGAACCATGTTTTCATTTGGTGAATTACAAACCTTTAAGAGACACAGAGGAGGAGGTGGGGCGGCAGAGCGATATAAGGTTCAATGTCAGGAATCCCCCACCCGTGAGTATTTTTTTTTGTCATTTGATAATTTTTTGCCGTATTTGGTAAGATTTTTATTCTTTATTCTAATGATTCCGAGGGAGAATACAATTGAAAGAAATCAAGAGTATTTTAGAGGGGTTTTTTGTGTGTTAATCAACAACCTGGTTTTGAGAAAATGTGAAATATAAAATTTGAAATATCATTATTGATCAATGTTAAATTTTTATGCATGTAATTGAAATTTGTCGAATTCAAAATTTTGATTTATACGAAGGTAAACATTGTATTTACAGAAACAAGGCTATAGAGATCTTGTTGTTTTTATTTGACTTTCAAGAATTATTGTTATTCATTACAAATTATTAAAAATGTCCTGTATAAGAAAAAAGTTCAAAGTTATTATCTTTATAATGATTTTGTTAAATTTCAATTTATTTGGATAAAATGTAGAATCGCAGGCAAATATAAAAGGCAACAACAACAGACCAACCAAATTAAGATGTTTTTGAAGCAATAGATTAAAGTTTTAAAAAATATCAATTTGTTACGGTTCAATATGCATTAATAATTTGTTATAGAAAATATTTGAGTCTCTTAAGTCGGAGGAAAAAAGCACACTACTCACTAACTGTAAAATATGTTTAAAGAAGTGGATGATTGAATACTATTGAAATAAATCCTTATTGTAATAAATATTTGATTTGATGGTCAAATGAGTTCATGGGATCTGTTTCTTTTTTCACCAATTTTCGATTTTAAAAACTTTTATGTAAATGTACTTCTCTTTTTCAACAACTGGACTTCTAATGTTCCTATATGAAGGAATGAGGTCCTGTTGTAAGTTATATGAATGTAGGAAAGCAATTTTTTAAAAAAGATTTAACGGATTAATCTGGGCAGTGGTCCTCTTGTTCTGTTTTGTAATTCCTCTGCAATAATAACAACTCTTTGAAACGCATTTAATTAACAGTATCCAAATGTTTTATAAGCCATAATTTTTACATTTAGCCAATATTCATGCTTGCAATATTTCAAAAAACATCATGTTTAGTAAGATAACAAAGTATTCTCATATCACATAAATTTCATTTTCCGCTGAGTTACAACGAGTGATCTGTTGATTAACTTTGATTAACTAGCAGGGATCTCGGGGAAAATTTCCTCATTAAGAGTATATCAACTTTGAAAAAAACATATGGTTGCAAGATTGGTTTAAATATCATCCACTTATCGTTTATTTGGTATGTTAGAAACATCAACATCTGTGTCTTTTACCTGCTGTGTTTTCTTATTGTGTAAAATATATTTAATATAAAAACATAGACCCAAATACTTTTTGTTAAAGGCTCACATTTAATAAAAAAAATTATTCAGTATTATAATCAAGTAATCCATACAATTCATATTTTATATAATTATGTCGTCCCGACAGGTCAGGAGACATATCATTATTGCTAGATATAAAATATTGTCCACGAAATATTCTCACAGTAGATGGGAGAATCTTAATAAACTTCACAGAATTGATATATACCAACTCTAGATGTGCAATTTACATTTGAAATTTTCAAAATGACCAGTTTCCATGGAAACAGAGGAAAATGATTTTTTTTAAACTAATTTTTCACAGTAACTGCTCAGCCAAACTTTTTGAAACGTTAAAGAACCATTGTTCTTGCATTCTCTCAAAGTGTTTTCTACCAAGAAATGGAACAGCTGCAAAAAGTGTGTAGCCATGTCATGAAAAGAACGAATGAGTTAACCAATAAAAGTTTGCTTTTTCTCTCGGGAGATAGAAAAGTTGATGTCACGTACGTGGCAGTTGTGTACTGACTTTGTAAATGTTCAGGTGCACCGTCTTGCGAAATACTGCGCTTTGTCTGTACTTGCTTACTCTGCTTTCAACTCAAATAATGCAGCACTGGGATCAGTTTAGGGTGTAATATCCTATTACTTGCAATAGAAAAATATCCAATTCATGATTCTAATTGGTTCCAATCTCGTCGTTATAAAACGGGAACCTCTCACGTTTTATAGATCACATTGCACACGTTGTATCTAAGCAATCCGATTAATTCGGAAAATGTTTTGTTCGTTAATTCGGGCAAGTAATGATTATCTTTCTTTTTCTACGGTAAACATATTTGGTTATTGATTTTTGACCTTGTGGCATTCTCACGGAAGCTTAGAAGGAATCTTTCTCGAGTCAGGAAGATTAAAGATATCAAAGAAACAATAACTAGTAGTTAAAAGTGTCAAACAGGTTATGTTCAATGTCAGTGCTTAATTAATTTGATTATATTTAAAATGGTCTGCTAAATGAATTCGAAAAAGACGAAACTATGCATGGCATTTTAAAAACCCAATATATACCGACATCAAGGACACTCAAATTTTCATACGTAAATCGATGACTTGATGAATTAATTTTAGAAAGATAAAAAAATTCATTCCATTGATACATGTCACAGTTTAGTGCTGTAGATATATATATTCTTGATGCTTGCCTTTACTGGAAATGCAGCTTTTAAATACTCACATGTCATAGTTCAAAAGATTTCTTAAGGGATGCAAAATTCTTGGTGTCAATGAACAAGTACTATCAAACAAACCTAGCTCGTAAAAATTTCATATACATGTAATATTGTTGCTTAACCAGTAGTGGGTTAGAAGTTTTGATTATTATACACTGGTATATTGTCCAAGAATATACCTAGCACGTATATCATTAGACATAATCGCGCATTTCAAAAGCATAGCAATTTACCTGTAGCTTTCAAGTAGGTTTCGTCGTGAAACTTATAAAAAGCATTGAAAATTGTTTAACCCTTTTGCACAGAGATGTCTTGCATATTGATAATTTTTATATGTATTACTGCAAACGAGAATAATATGAAACAGTTACAAATGTCCTCTTACATCCTCCATATATTTCCAGAAAAAGGGGACACAAATTTGCTTACTGAATCCACAGAACATTTTCTGTTCCGACTCTAAATAATGCAGTAAAATACCCTTATAATGTAGCAATATATCCTTATCACCTGCATGAGGGCTATTTGTCTCCCAGTTGATTTGATACTCAAGAGCATGCTTTACGTGTGAACAATTTCTAAAACGAGGCAAGCTTATTGACAAACAAGTTGATGAAACAAGGCTATCAACAGTCTCGTTTGAAGTCTTCATTTCGCAAGTCTTATGGTCGATACAATGACCTTGTTAGCAAACAAATCCTATCATTAAGTCAAATGTGGACTGACGATTTTCATGCTACAATAAAGCGCATTGAAGTGGTAACATTTTTCGTTTGAATGGAACGTTTGGGTTTTCTTATCGAATGTCAATCGTTACATAAAGAAACGTCTATTTCTTTAACATTGAGAAAACAATATTCGTCGCAATGTTTTCAGACACCTTATGTTCTGAGGTTAGCAACACGAGTTGTGCTGAAATGGGGATACAGTGTATTATGAAGTTGGGAGAGTGAGTGAGAGACTTCCCGCTTCTGCAGAACTCAATAATTGTAACGAATATATACATAATACTAATAGCATGTATATAAGTCATGTCTATCTAAGTTACTAGAACACATGATCGAACACGTTTTCCCGGTGTTTATGTACACTGCCGATTTGATTGATTAATGTATTTATAAAATGCCTGTTCCACAGGTATTCGAATAAGCAGGTGAAACTGAGGACTGTACCTCAATGCAGACTCGTGTTTCTCCGCCCATTCGATCGTCTCTACAATAAACAACTTCTGAAGAAAGGGGTGTGTCATTATGTAGCAACCATTGTTTGAAAGAAAGCTCAAATGTTTCATTCAAACGGAAAAATTTACCACTTCAATGCACTTTATTGTACATGTAAAATTCTCCGATTGAATGGAACGTTTTGAGCTTTCTTTAGAACGTTGGTGTCATATAATGACACGCCTATTTCTTTACAAAGGAAAAACAACGGTCAAATGGTTCATTCGAATACCTGTAGAACAGGTATTCCATAAGTACAATAGCCAATCAAATTGACAGTCAGCATAAACATGATAAATTCATAATTATGTACATATTCGTTGCAATACGTGTTTTACAGAAGCGGGGTCTTCTCTGTTTTCTAACTTAGAAGACTCTGTCTTCTAACTTAATAAAATCTCTTTTTTAGTGTAACTTATGTTGCTAGTCGCAAAGAGTGGGGTGTCCTAAAGCATTACGACGAATATTTCTTTCTCGTTTCTAAAGAAATGGGCGTGTCATTATGTAGCAATTGACGATTGATAAGAAACACCCAAACTTTCCACTCAAACGAAAAATTTTATCACTTCAATACGCTTCATTGTAATTGTTAGGCCATAAGATACACACTAAATTGTCTTCGGATTTTTCCGTTTTTTTTTAATATGACAAGGAGCACACGGCATGCAGGTTTGACCAGTCGCGAGGGATGCTCACTCCTCCATTGCATCTGATCCCACCTCTGATCGTTTTGGAGGTCAGTGTTTACTCTGCTCCCGATTTTACAATTTTTAGGGATTTTGAGCTTGAACACTGTTCGTTATCTCCATATTGCAAGCAGAATTTTTTTTCCCGAAAAGACGATTTACTCTTTACTATGTCTGTTACGAGATATGAAAAACAGCAATCTAATCATATTAAAATTAGAAACACTCACCTATTGCAAACATTAGCATATACCATATTGATCTTCCTCAGTTTACCCCAGTTTACCCAACAGTGCAATATTTGAGATAAAAAAAAAAACAGAATAAGCAATTTTTGCCAAAAATGAAACATCAGAAACATATGGGTTTTTTTATGTTAACGAAATGCAGCCATATTTAAAAAATTAAACTTCAGAAACTTGGGAAATCTCTTACACGTGAATATAATGTGTTTTCAAATATTTTAAACTAGTCACCCAAACCCCCCAAAAACTTTTTGTTTCCATTGTAACTGGGACAAAATCTGTGAAATCGGGTCCAATTATTTTGCAGAAAATAGTTTGACGATCGAAAAATAA